CTGTGTGGTACATTATGTAAAGTCCTGTATGATAGTTATGTGTACAATCTGTGTGGTACATTGTGTAAAGTCCTGTATGATAATTATGTGTACAATCTGTGTGGTACATTGTATAATGTCCGGTATGGTACACTCCTTGTACAATCTGTGTGGTACATTATGTAAAGTCCTGTATGATACTTATGTGTACAATCTGTGTGGTACATTGTGTAAAGTCCTGTATGTTAATTATGTGTACAATCTGTGTGGTACATTGTAGAAAGTCCTGTATGGTACACTCCTTGTACAATCTGTGTGGTACATTATGTAAAGTCCTGTATGATACTTATGTGTACAATCTGTGTGGTACATTGTGTAAAGTACTGTATGGTAACTCTTTGTACAATCTGTGTGGTATATTGCATAAAGTCCTCTAGGATACACTCTTTGTACAATCTGTGTGGTACATTGTGTAAAGTCCTGTATGATAATTATGTGTACAATCTGTGTGGTACATTGTGTAAAGTACTGTATGGTAATTCTTTGTACTATCTGTGTGGTACATTGTGTAATGTCCTGTATGGTAACTCTTTGTACAATCTGTGTGGTATATTGTATAAAGTCCTGTATGGTACCCTCTTTGAACAATCTGTGTGGTACATTGTGTAAAGTCCTGTATGGTACACTCTTTGTACAATCTGTGTGGTACATTGTGTAAAGCACTGTATGGTAACTCTTTGTACAATCTGTGTGGTATATTGTATAAAGTCCTGTATGGTACTCTCTTTGAACAATCTGTGTGGTACATTGTGTAAAGTGCTGTATGATAATTATGTGTACAATCTGTGTGGTACATTGTGTAAAGCCCCGTATGATAATTATGTGTACAATCTGTGTGGTACATTGTGCAAAGTACTGTATGGTAATTCTTTGTACTATCTGTGTGGTACATTGTGTAATGTCCTGTATGGTAACTCTTTGTACAATCTGTGTGGTATATTGTATAAAGTCCGGTATGGTACACTCTTTGTACAATCTGTGTGGTACATTGTGTAAAGCCCTGTATGATAATTATGTGTAAAATCTGTGTGGTACATTGTGTAAAGTACTGTATGGTGAATCTTTGTACAATCTGTGTGGTATATTGTGTAAAGTCATGTATGGTAACTCTTTGTACAATCTGTTTGGTATATTGTGTAAAGTACTGTATGGTAACTCTTTGTACAATCTGTGTGGTATATTGTATAAAGTCCTGTCTGGTACACTCTTTGTACAATCTGTGTGGTACATTGTGTAAAGCACTGTATGGTAACTCTTTGTACAATCTGTGTGGTATATTGGATAAAGTCCTCTAAGATACACTCTTTGTACAATCTGTGTGGTACATTGTGTAAAGTACTGTATGGTAATTCTTTGTACTATCTGTGTGGTACATTGTGTAAAGTCCTGTATGATAATTATGTGTACAATGTGTGTGGTACATTGTGTAAAGTACTGTATGGTAACTCTTTGTACTATCTGTGTGGTACATTGTGTAAAGTCCTGTATGGTGACTCTTTGTACAATCTGTGTGGTATATTGTATAAAGTCCTGTCTGGTACACTCTTTGTACAATCTGTGTGGTACATTGTGTAAAGCCCTATATAAGTCCTGTATGATAGTTATGTGTACAATCTGTGTGGTACATTGTGTAAAGTCCTGTATGGTGACTCTTTGTACAATCTGTGTGGTATATTGTGTAAGGTCCAGTATGATACAATCTTTATACAATCTGTGTGGTATATTGTGTAAAGCCCTGTAGGATACACTCTTTGTACAATCTGTGTGGTATATTGTGTAAGGTCCAGTATGATACAATCTTTATACAATCTGTGAGGTATATTGTGTAAAGCCCTGTAGGATACACTCTTTGTACAATCTGTGTGGTATATTGTGTAAAGTCCAGTATGATACAATCTTTATACAATCTGTGTGGTATATTGTGTAAAGCCCTGTAGGATACACTCTTTGTACATTCTGTGTGGTATATTGTGTAAAGTCCTGTTGGATACACTCTTTGTAAATCTTTGTGATACATTGCGTACAGCCCTGTATGCTACAATACATCTCACATAAGACAGACCATGCGAACAATATGAATAAATATATTAAGAGAAATGATAATATTTTTCTCCCGATAACTGCTACTGGTTTCCTCACTCCCAACTCTTGGATTAACCTGCTAGAAATTGGTAACCATTCTCGGTAAACCTGTTGCCTTTGAAAATGAACTAACGAAAGTTAAATATAATTTCATATTATGAAGAGAGAATGAAGCACGGCTGAACGAACGAATGAAATGAATGGAGAACTTTGAGTAAGAGGCCTTCTGCTTTAGGGCTTGATGAAACACTACAAACAATACAATAAATTGAAATAAAAATATTTCGATATATTGGTATGTGTAACCTTGAAAGCGGCGCCGAGCAGTTACTGTAAGTTTTTCTTGGTGATAGATAAAGTGTTCTGACAGATTCTATTTGTAAAAGGAGTGTTGTTCATACTGTATAAGATAATATTGTGGTGACAATACTTGTGTGGATTTTTAAAATCTGATAGTAGTTACCTTCCCAGTAATATTGACACTGATCCTCGTATTAACGTCACCAGCGCATGGGATTGTTTTGGATTAATCGCTATCCACTTCGTAAAACCTATCTAAAAATAATTTCAACATTTGTGTTCTTAATCTGAAATGTTTTGTAAGTCTGGCATCTGATGACGCAATATAAGGTCATTTCAAATTGTAGCAAATCACTGGTGAATTAAATGTTGGTTTATTTGTTGACGTCAGAAGAAATATTAACATATTGTATACAATGAAACATTATAAGCAGCCGAACTATGAAATATTTTTTATGACATACAGCTACATATTCGTTTACAAACAATTTCTTTGTATAAACAGGATTTCGACATATGTATATAAAAAAAAGTTTTTTTGGCGATCGTCATTGTGTCCTGAAGATGTCGTAAGTTTGGTCTTTGTGTGCTGACGATTTAGCACTTATATATTTTCCTTGTGTTTTGACGATATGTTTTATAAACATATTTATACGGTGTCTCCCTTACGTAGCACGCTCTTAGTCGTTGTTCCTCTCGTTGACACGAACACAAAGTTCATTAATCATTAACTTCAGGGTCGATGTTAGACACATTTATCATACACAGCAAGGGGTAGGCACGCGCACAGCTATCCTCCATAAGCCTTGCTTAACTGTCCCTCATGAACAAACTAGATTATACGCAATACTTAACATTTCAGTGATTTATAATGGTTGAGATTTCTATTCTCCTGAGTAAGGTCTCAGCTTTATCCTATGAGCTATATAAAGTAAACCATAGTGTTAGCACACAAGGTCAACACAATCGTCAAATAACATCCAGCATATTTATAACAAACTCTAAACATTTCTTTTAGAACTACAGGGGACATAGGAATTAGTTCGTTGTAGTAAAACATATCATAGCATACCCAGAGAAACCTATATTCGTTTATGTACAGCTTTACATGTTTGTAAAGAATCCCAAGGAAAGCTAAAATAATTCTCTGTACAGTAAAACATGTCTTTGGCAAGTGTAACATTTAAAGTTCTCCCTCCGGATGATTAGAAGACAGGGAGTCATCCGACACATAACCCGGTATCATACACGCTGTTTTCTAATATTCCGACATACAATTTATCATCTGTACGAATAACTATGTGTTGGTGTTGCCACTTTAGTCTTTATTACTGCCCGTCCGTCCAGCACGGTTAGTATTAAAGTATCGGGATTCACAGGAGTTCGAACGAGATAGATTTGGACACAACAGTTCTATCGTCGAAGCGACGACATGACAGCAATCCATCAGAATTACAATGGTATACAACTATCTAGTGTAACTGTCATGTAACTAGATTTTTTATAATTAAAAATGGTGGAACTGCATTCCCCCCTCTCTCAAATAATAAAAATCGACTTCAATGGTTACCACACGCGACATATATTGACTTAAGAAGCTTGACGTTATCACCAATAACGCAAGCATTGCTGTGGTCATTTTTAGGCCGGAATGTTCCTTGAACATTGTATGACGTAGATTTTAACATAGCGTAATTTTATGTTATAAACTTGATAATTCATTTAGGATGTAATTTAGGCCTGTACAGTTCTAAGGTTCAGGAAGTGCTAACACATTGTGAAAGTTCACAAGTTTACATCAACCTCTAGTAAAAATACAACCTATCCACAATGGTGGTACATTTATATTATGGAAGGGAAGAAAAGATTTTGTCTTAAAATTCATATTGTTGGTTGGTGTTCAAAATGGTAGGTAGCGTTGTTTTAAGTCACGTGTACATTTTATAACTACTTTTCGCAAAATCACGAGGTAGACCTCACCAGGACATGCAACCCAAATTTTCCACAATTGGGTGAGCTTTTCGGGACACTCAACAGTTAACGGTCGACATCAGACACACACAAGATGCTTAACGAATACATGGGACTTCTGTTACCGTGTCAGAATTTAGCCATGACGCGTCTAGTCTGTGCATGACGTCGACCACATAAACATGAAAAAGTGACAGTATGATTACCAAATATGTTCAACCATCGCAATGACGCGTGGATAGGAAGGTAACGGGTTTAATGTTTGCGTAAGGAAACCAAACAGTGATGCTGTTTTAGTAGCGGGAACGTAGATTGGGTCCATTTTTAGACTTTGATTGCTTTCCTACTTTTTCCACAAACATTACTGAGTGTGGCATCGAAAAACAGAAAAAAAACCTTAAACATTAAACAACATTTCCTACACATCTGAATGGGTCCAAACCTAATTCCTCAAATTTATTCTCATATTCCCTGTGTAGTATAACGGAAGTTTCCTTTCCCTTAACGCTTCCGGTGTTCCATAACCGATATATTGATGATAAATTATTAACACAATCTATTACAGTATCTAAATTAAATGCAAAGCATAATCAAGTAGGCTGTACCGATTGGAACCTGTTTATTCATTAACATGTACATATCCAAACAAACGGAAGCAAATGTTAAACATGTACAATAGTCAAAAATATACAATAATCATTTAGCACTTAATAAATATCATAAAATGAATTTCTTTTAAAAGGATAACAATGCTTTTGTACAATCTGTCAGTTTACCTTTATCACTATATCCTTCTCAGCCGCCTTGCTCAGTGACAATAGTCAGCTACCGGATGTGGATGTATCGTCATCTTCCTTTCTAAAGGAAACAGTCATGTGACCATTCGAATATTCGACTGACATGAATTTGGCAGGAGAGTAAACTCGCGTTGGCCTTCTTGTCGAATCGGTTAAAGCCGTACCTCTACTAAAGGTGTCGGCTGTCATTGACTTATTTATCGTCGATTGGTGTTTCAGAACTTGATGGGAAGCGTCTCTATAACGATAGCAACGCAGCAAGGTTTTAAATCCCCTTCTGTACTTTTTGTTGAAAAGACAATAGATGAGGGGATTAATACAACTGTTAGACAAGCCGAGCCACTGCAGAGTCGGGATAACATATTTTGACAGAGTGACCACGATTTCATGTGTCAGATTTGGTGAGTAATAAAACACAAACCGCATGACGTACTGTGGCAGCCACGAAAGAGTAAATAAGGTCACAACCATGGCAAACATTTTCACCACTTTGATTTTAGATTTTTGTATCACACCGGAACTATTAGCCGAGTGACCAGGCGCATGTCTGTTCCAAACTCGGATGGTGATCATCATGTAGCACACCAGAATTAGCACGAGTGGGAGGGCGTAACAGAACAGAAACAGTGCGATGACAAAATAACCTCTCTGAAGGTCATAGGTCGGCCAGTGTGTACCGCACATCTTAATGGCGTAGGGCGGATCACCTATGAATTCCTCATAATAGATGAACACTGGAAGTTGTACAATGGATGCCACCGCCCAGATCATAACAAGGGCGACACGAGAGGTGAAGGTCGTAAACAATTTCCGCCGCCACGTGTTGCAAATTGCCATATATCTGAAAACATAGAAAAAAACGTGTATTACTTTCATGTTAAGAACAAATGCGGGGATTTTAAAAGGTACTTGTGCACTACTTACTACCGAGTATATGGATCATCTTTTTGACGATAATCACATATCCCCCTCCTGACCTTTATTCGTGTAGACGTTATACACCGGTATTCATTATAAAATTGCTTTTGAATTTTCACTGTTATCTGATATGCTCGGGTCGAGAAAAGAGTATAAATTCAAAGATATGCAATTGTATCCAATTATATATGCGTTATATTCAGTTGTATCGTACTTTTTTGCATATTGATTAGGTCGACGTCACCCACAGACGATCGCTCGTGCTAACACATATAGCCTCATTTACTGTTTTGTGTGTATGTATATATGCTGAAAGTCTTAATAAATAAAAACGGAAATATTAATGCATCTTTTGTATAGATATCCTCAATCACTTCAACTTGAATTCAGCAATATTTTACAACAAAATCAGTGCTGTTTTGGAAAACATTGTTGTGATTTAGTTAGTTTTCCTTGTAAACAATTCCCTATAATAAAGGCTGCACAACGGTAGAATGCTGCCTTTCCATCTTTTCTTGACGCCAATACTTGGTAAAGTGTTTCCCCAAGGTTGATATTTGATAGCGTAGACATTTCATCTGTAACAATGTTTTGAAAATCAAAAACACACTTTGTTGATAGTTTTCTGAGTTATGCGGATTAGTGTTTTTTTTTTTTTATCAAAATGGATAAAATGTCGTGTTCACTGACGAAGCAGGAGTGCAGTTTGCAGTATCACAGTAGTAAATCAAACTATGAAACGGTCACCGTGGTCACGACAGAGAAAGGCTAGGCTTCTGCCTCAAATCGGTGATGTTTTGAAAATGCAACCTGATTGATTGAGTTGAGATCTTGACCATTTTAATCAGGGTTGTCACGCACCAGACTTATTCAATAATTATATATCACTATACAATATGAAAGAGTCTCCATTATTTTGATGAAAAAAAATGGTACATGTACGGCGGAGATTTTCAGCAACTTTAGTCAGAAAAGTCCTTCCATAATTTCAATTATTTTCATGAAATTATCTATTAACATGAAACGTGTTATCATTGTTAATTCAAGTTGAATGTGATTTAATGTCTATTATCTTATATTTTACATGTTTTTCTCCCTTTGTAGTAGGAAAAGATAATCTTTCCTCCATTAACATAGATAGTTTTCTCCTATTTTATTTTTCCGCCACCCTTAGGGTATGGTTTTTCTGGCAGGGCTTGGCAATAACTTATGTCATCACAATCGGCTCTCGAGAGGAGAGGTCATGATATACATGCAAATCAGGAAAACCCCCAGATGATAAATACTGGTAACAAATTGTTTTCAGCATGGTATTGGAATGATTGGAGAAAAATAACCCTATCTAGAGTGTGTGACATGGAAATCCCCAGGAGGCAAGAAGCATGCGGTATATATTGACGTCATAAGAGTGAATGGTAAGCGTGACGTCATAATTGTTTTTAATACGCGACATTCCGTCTTTGCGTATTGCAGAGTTATCTTCTCATGGGAGCAGGGATTGATTGTTACGTCACTTGTTTGTGAGAGTAACGTCATCAATTTGTGAGAAAACGACGTAATTTCTCATACAGACCAATGACGTAACAATCAATACCTGCTCCCAAGAGAAGATAACTCTGCAATACGCAAAGACGGAATAGTCTTTTGTTGACAAGCATGCCAGACTATTGCCATGTTTAGTTGTAAATTAAACGCAAGAATGGAAGAAAAACAACCATCCCCTACCATGAGGTTATAACAAAAAAAATATTTAGCCCTTTTGGTGATTTTTGGCAACTAACCGTCGGCAGAGCCTCGGATAGGACAACCAAAATAGTTACCCCTCCTGTTTGAGCTTATTCTGTCGCACCCTGAACGTAGTGGAATATTGTTTCATGGCATTAAAGTACATACCTATCCACGGCAATAACAGCCAAAGTGTTGACAGACGCGCAGACAGACACATGTTGGATGAAGGGCGTGGTCTTGCACAGGACCGAACCAAATGGCCATCCTGCAATACGAGAAAATAGATATCGATATTAAAGACACATTATTAAAAACATGTTTTGTAGGAGTTAATCCCATTGTGTCACTGTGCGGCCTTCATCAAACTTAATATGACAGTAGTTCCATCCACTAATATAATTTACAATACACTCTACCATACAGTAATTACAAGAGAGGACACATTTATATACAATAGTGCGTGATTAGTCAAGGTGTGAAGATTTCTTAAAATGTCCTGTTCTTCCCTGCTAACGATCTGTGTTAATCTCGAACAAATCAGGTCTTTATTGGATTAAGTTTCTTATATCCATTGCAGTTGGTTTTAATATTGATTAATTGTACATTTTAAAAACAGATAAATTAAATGGCAAACTAAAAAAGCTATTATTTTTTCATATAACAAATCAGGAAAATTAGATAATATGTCCATCGTATAAACAAAAATTTCCATTTATGAGTTTAAGATAACCTTTCAAATACCACTTACAATGGTAACCGTCGGACATATTAGATAAATCACCAAACACATGGGCAATGCTATCTGTTTGGTGTTTGAGATAATTTTCTTAACACATATTTCCAATCGTAAAAGATTTTTCACTAACTAATCACGATATAATTTTAATCAACAAATCATTTCACAGATATTTCACTAATAAGTAAACACGTCAGTAATTCCACTTAAATATCTAAGAAAAAACACATAGTATTTTCAGGATTTGCCACAAACGACAAATCATGAAAACATTGCATTAAGAGGTTTACCATCAATATATAACTATTCTTTATTGTAAGTCAATTTCAAAAAGTCGTATAAATCCATTAAGACTCCTTCAAACCAAATTATGAAATAATCTATTAAACCCTCTGTCATCAGCAAATGTAAAAATACATATGTTTTTACGAGGAACAATAACACTAACTGTCAAACAAGAGTAGTGGAAAGTCTGAAATATATCGTCATCAGTTGCTTAATACGCATATTTAGGATAAAACTGGTGTTGATTTCCGAATATATATATATATATATATATATATATTTTTTTACGAAGTATTCCCACAGCGTTTTAAAATTAGTAGTGGTGATTCACCAAAACAAACTAACGTCACCTGTCACGAGAAAACATTTTAATTTAAGAGAAAATATCCAAAATAGAAAAATCTTTTCCCAACAATTGTTCTTAACTTCTCAAACTTCTCACACTGACAATCGATGATAATGAATGTATCATGCTACTGGTAGGTGGTATAACGTAGTATAAAGATCACAATCAAACACACAGTAGTACTTCTCTTGGAGAAATAGTTCCATTGTTGTTTTTTGTTATCAGTGGACACGTTTAGATATCTACTTAATTCCAAATACAAATTTAAGGCATGCACTTCAATAATATTTTCTTTATTATACATCTGAATCATTGGCACATGGTGATGGATTAAGCCAGCAACATGTTCATCACATACATAAGTATACATAATGTTTATTATATCCCTCACAATAAATGAAATAAGGTTAATAAAACAGCTATAATTCGTTAAATGTGTTTTATAACCAAACGGTAAATAGTGTAGACATGAAATGTACTGGGATATGGCATGGCACATGACCAAGTAGGAGTGGCGCCTGACGGTTGTTCTTGTATTCTATCCAGGCAGTATCATACTCACACTGGCACGCAAACCACACTTGTCAATTAGGAAGAAATGTATGTCTTGTTGAATTTCAAATTTAACTCTAATTGAAAATACAGACTCATAAACTCAGATTACAGTACATTTTTAAAGACAAGCTAAACCTTGACTATAAAGAAAATAGCTTGTTTGCAAATGTTGATCTCATTCTTTATAGCTTTTATTTTTCAAATGTTTTCCAAAATGTCTAATGTTTATGTAAGCTACACCTATAAAGCTGGTCAAAAGTACATAAATAACAACTCACTAACAAGTGCGATGCTATAATGAAATACATCCCCTTCTGAAATATGTGGGCCACTGTTAATCAATGTTTTATTCCTTGCTTTACTTTCTATTTTAAGCACCCTGTCTTTTCTTTAGTGAATCGCTCTCAAGCGCTCAATATCAGGGAATGAAGACCATATGTATTCGATTCGAGCAGGATGATGCGAGTGCAACTTTACACGAGCGATCTTTACACATGTGGTCAATTTAAGTTTCTCTACATTTATGGGAGTGTACGTGTAAGCTGGGGATGGTAAAGGTGTTTTGCTTATTATTGCTCAAAATTTACAGCGGCTTATTCATAATGCAAATATTACATAACAGTATATCACAAAAACTTCCACACTCTACAAAAAGTGTTTTGTAATCTAATAGAATATGAAGGAGGTGCTATAAGGTTGTGAAACAATGTGTATGTGTCTTGCTGAAGGACAGCACCACATCCCGACGTTTGCACTGTGTACCAACACACAAAATATAGTGTATACCCAAAATAGTTTAGCTAGTATATACCATTGTCTGCGATGTGATATAAACCTATCGTTTATACAAGTCACTGTAGTCAATAAAAGTGTACCATAACACCTAGGGTTTATAGCTGTACCAGTTTCTAATACCAATTGATTGACACGCCCTAAAACGGGTTTTATTACCAAACCGTTATTTAATGTTGATCCAATTTCGTTTCAAATTGTTGAGCTATTTATTTTTAAATACATTCCGAAAGTTGAAACACACAGAGGAATACAGATTGACTTAACTGCAATATAATTCCTCGTTGTAAGGAAGGACTTGGCAGTTTAATGGTCACGGTATACTGTGTGGGGCCCCAGATCTTCCGATATTAGGTCTACTTGAAACAAAAGCATGTCTACATTCCATGCTCCTGTGTATGCCAAAGATTTGTCAGTAAACAACAAATGCTGAAGTATTCGTATTTGAAAACAAATTCGTATTTTTCATGTTGGTTATTTGAATAGTTAAAACGATTGACTTCTGCACGTATAGTGTAACGGTACATACTATATGTATCTTGAATATAGATACATATAGTATGTATCTATATTCAAGTAAGGTATCAATCATGTGTGAACGAAAGCATAACTATACATATTTATAACTCATGAAGGTCTTTGTGGCGTTTTTTGGCAACCCCACTTGAGTTAGCTGTTATAGTTTGAAGTAGTAGCTGCCTTCAATCTAATCAAAATCAGATCTCTCATTACAATACGTATCTGCTGTATCTCCTGGATTAAACTATTTACTGGTTTTCTACCGTTCATTGCTTTCTTTCACTTCTCTCCTCTTCGCTTTTGATGTTGCACGTTTGCCAGTGCAAGGAAGGCAGTTGCTTGAAGCACAGGCCTGGACACAAGAAAGTCCTTAAAACAGTAGCTGTTTATTCCTGCTAAATGTTCAGCAATTATGGAAATGCCAACTGGTTAACCCATTCTCAGTATAACCTGACCGGGTGGAATGCTACTCAGTATAACCGGACCGGGTGGAATGCTACTCATTATAACCTGACCGGGTGGAAGGCTACTCAGTATAACCTGACCGGGGGGAATGCTACTCAGTATCACCTGACCGGGTGGAATGCTTCTCAGTATAACCTGACCGGGTGGAATGCTACTCAGTATAACCTGACCGGGTGGAATGCTATGCTGGGTGGCTTTGGCATGGTATTTTAGTGAGATGACACTATAAAGCCGGCATCAGAGCAACGCTTTCGCGAGGAGGCAATTGCCACAACATATCCTGCTTCCAACACACGAACACATGCACGCATGTATTACCCACACGAAGCCCCGTTCTTAAATGACCCTAAATATTGACATATTAAACCAAACCAAACGATCTTCTTCTCCTCCTGCCGTCAGCTAATTATTCTTTTTTCGACCCCGCATTTCTTCTTTCTATCTCTCCTTAAATATTTAAAAAAATGTACCCCTCTTTTTTTCTCTCTTTCGCTCTGCTGGCATAAAACATTTGCTCTTTTGTACTTCCCACTTCTTCTCTCTGTCTTACGTGGCATTACCTATATACTCTTTTTCTACTTCTCCTTATGTCTCTCTGTCTCTCCTGGTGTCAAATATTTACTTTAATTCTTGTTACCTCTCTCTTACTGCGTAGCATTAGCTATTTACTCTCTTTTTACTCTCCTTACTCTTCTCTATATCTCTCCTGTTATCAACTGTTTACTCAATGTCTACCCCTCATTACTTCTCTCTATATCTCTCCTGTTATCAACTGTTTACTCAATATCTACCCCTCATTACTTCTCTTTATATCTCTCCTGTTATCAACTGTTTACTCAATGTCCACCCCTTATTACTTCTCTCTATATCTCTCTCCTGTTATCAACTGTTTACTCAATGTCCACCCCTCATTACTTCTCTCTATATCTCTCCTGTTATAAACTGTTTACTCAATGTCTACCCCTCATTACTTCTCTCTCTATCTCTCCTGTTACCAACTGTTTACTCAATGTGTACCCCTCATTACCTCTCTATCTATCTCTCCTGTTATCAACTGTTTACTCAATGTCTACCCCTCATTACTTCTCTCTCAATCTCTCCTGTTAGCAACTGTTTACTCAATGTGTACCCCTCATTACCTCTCTCTCTATCTCTCCTGTTATCAACTGTTTACTTAATGTCTACCCCTCAATACTAATCTCTATATCTCTCCTGTTATAAACTGTTTACTCAATGTCTACCCCTCATTACTCCCTCTATGTCTCTAGGCAACAACTATGCACACTTTTCCCGTCCCAACTGTTTAACCTTTACCGTATCTGTGTCCCGGTTTGACCTGAGAAGGACACATCTTCATATAAATCCAAACACACGGACATTAGAAATGAAAAATAGCGTTCAATCACGCACAGCGTGTATTTGTCGGTAGAATGTACCAATTACTCCTGACATATTGTTGGAGCATCGACTGTAATAATGACAAGTAAATTTGGTTTAGGAAAGTCAACCCTTGACTCCACGTTTAGCAACGTTGAATTCTAGGGAAAGGAATGTCTCCCCCAATAAG